AAAAAAATCTTATTTATTATTATTTATTTTATTTTCTTTAATTAAATTATGTATTATTAATAATAATGTATTTAAGATTATTTTTATTATTATTTTTTATTGTTAAACCTCATTAATTTCTAACTTATTAAAAAACTTATAGCAATCGCATATTACTAGTATAGCATATGAAGATGTTTACATAGTAAAAAAGAGGTGTTTATACAATAAAAGAGAGGTGTCCATCTAACAGTTTGATTATTATATTCATTTATTTTAAATTTTATTTTAAAATAATATTAAATCATTAATTTTAAAATTTTAAAAATATACTATAAAATAAATATTAAAAATCAATAAAATTAAAAAAAGATATTTTTAAAGTAACATAATTAAAAAAATGAGACTTAAAAGAAAAAAATCTATTATTTCCAAAAATACATAAAAATTTGATTATTTTTTTACTTTAACCTTTGTATTATTTAAAAATTAATTAATTTAAAGTATTTAACTTATTTTTTATTATATAATCATATAATTATTTATATATAATTAAGATATTTGAAATTGATATTCTAAAATATCATTTTAATAGTAATTTTTATTTTCATCATGAATATAAATAAATAAAATATATTATATGATGGTATTTTTAATAATTTTTTTTAATAATTTTTACAAAATATAGTTATCAAATATAAAAATATACACAAATACATGATAGAAAAATATATTTTTTAAATTTGGTCAATATTTTTTAATATATTAAAATAAAGCCAACATCTACATAAGAGTATTTTAGAACTATATAATAATATATAATATAAAAATAATTGATATGAAAACATACTATAAATACTATGTTCAAAAACAAAAAGATCATTCTCAATCATAAGTTAAACTCAACTTAATAACATAAATTCTAAAATTAAAATTGATAATATTTTAGACTAGGTTTGGAATAATAGAGTATTTTACTATAAAAATAAAAATAATAATTTTATTTTTGTCAAATGCCATTCTTGGTAATATTTCTAAAAATTAACTTAAAGGTTAGTTTGCAAAACTTTAAAATAATTATATATATATATATATATATATATATATATATATATATATATATATATAAGTGACATAATTTTAATTTTAATTTTTTAATTTAAATGAAATAAAATGATTTTCAGACTATGTTTATTAAGATAATAATAAGAAAAAATATCAATCATGTATGCATGTATCATAAAGAAAAAAGATTTAAAATTTCAAAAATAAAAAATGTAATTTGATATATTCTAAATATATATATATATATATATATAAACATACAAACACATACACACATATATATATATATATATATATTTAGAAATTGAAATAAATATCAATTAAAATTACTATTATAGATCAGAGAATAATTAAAAATATAATAATAGTTTTATTAGTTCAAATATTATTTTCTTATTTTTTATATTTTAAATTGTTCATTTATTTTTATTTTGAATGAATATGAGTATTTTTTTAGTTTGACCAAATTAAATTATAAATATTAGTACAAATACAAAAGCATATATATATATATATATATATATATATTTATGTGGGAAAATTTTTTTGATAAGACAATCTAAAGTTATAAAGCATGTTTAATCATGATTACTTTACATATTTTATCAAATACATTTTCTATATTTTTAGAATTATTTTAGTAGTTTTTATTAGAAAGTTATTTATGAAATTGGAATAATTAATTTAATGCAAATCAATTAGAAGGAAAAAAAACTAACTAAATTATATTATAGAGATATTCGAATTATTGTTTAAAAATAACAAAATAATTGTAATATGTTATTTATAAAAAAAATTAAATGATAGCATGATAAATAAATCAATTGTTAGATTGAAAAAAATAATAAACTTTATTTTGTTAGGGATTTCTTTGTACAATAGAAGAATGTCTAAGCTTTTAATTGATTACCACCAAAATTTCTAAAATAGTCTTTTAATGATATTTTCAACTAAAATTGTCAATAAATACAACTTACTTTTTAAACTTTCAAGATAAACTATTCACTATCTAAATTTTTGTTTTTTATTTTATTTTATTTTATTTTTAATTTAATAATGCTAAGGAGTCTAAATGAAATATGATACGATATTAGAGATGTGTGTGTAAGTATATATATAATGTTATATTGCCAAATTTTATTTTGAATTCTTGTCTTTATGTAGTAAAAATATTAACAAATATGTGCAATGAAGTCTTGGTCTACTTTAAGAACTTAGAAAAGTAATATTTGTGGTTTTTTCAGAAGTGCTTAATTGATAATGTAAAGGAATTTCTCCGATAGAAATAAAAAATAATAAAAAATAAAAATATCCAATTTTTTTGTTAATACTAATAGTCTTGAGCATCATAGTGTTTATTAGATTCAAATTATGTTTTGAGTTTGAGTATTAATCATAAGGATAGCTGAGTTTCATTTTTGAAATATCAGAATAAAACTATTATTATAAAGACCACGTGTTGTAGCAATCTTTCAAAATTGGTAGTAATTTTGAATATTATGAAGACCATAGTTGGTATTTTAAACCAACTATTTTTATTTTTGTTTATTTATTTATTTTTGGGTGAATAATTGTAAAGAATTTGATATTCCATAAAATTATGGAATGTATGGAATATCAAATTCTCTACAATTATATAAAATAGCTTCTTTTATACCTCTATCAAATTTAAATGTATAATTATAAAATAAATAAATAAACATGTTAGAATTAATAGGATTAGTTGGAAATGTATATAAATAAAACCAACCAAGAAGCAATGTAAAAAAAAAAAAAAAAAAAAAAAAAGATGAAATGGAATACAATTTTTTTCTACATTGTGCAAATAATGTTGTCTCCCAAAAACACTTTTGGGCCCATTTGAAAAGGTTGTTTCAAATGTAAATATAAACCATGTCAAAATGCTACAAATAATCATCAATTATAATTAAAATTAAAATTAAACTTTCTTTATTTGTCATAGTTGTTGAGATTGAAATATAGGTTGACATATTTAAATTTGTAACGAAAATAATGATTTGATTTACTTCATGATTTCTTCTCACTTTACACTACATGCAATAGCCAAGGCTTTTAAAATATAGATTTTCTTCACCTAATGAAAAACTTGGTGAAACTTTTAAACCATGGTTTTTTTAAGTACAATCCTAGATAAAAATCCCCCTTAGAAAATAAAAATTAAATAAAATTAAAAATTAATGCTAAATATGCAGTTGATAAATAATGTCTAAAACTGACAATCCTAGCTAACAGCATTTCTTTACCATCACAGCAGGAATCAGAAAGAGCATTTAACTTGTTTTTCCCCTTTTCCGGCGGTTGGCGCAGTGGGCGTGGGTCACTGAATTGACCGCGGATCGGATGACGGCCTACAGCCTGAGTTTTCATCTAATGGGAGCGTTCATCCACAGGGGTACCCGATGATTTTTTTGGATGAAAGACTTTAGGGTTTGTAGCAAACAAACGGAGCATATGAACCCTACCTCGCAATCTCTCGTCGTCGGTCTCAGAGTTAGAGCCGTTGCTACCGGCTGAGATTCAGTTTCTGTTGTATTAGGTTTAGCATCGACTGGCCACACGTTTTGAATTTTAGGGCTCTCCGTTGGCTTATGGCGACTATATAATAGGTTTGAGGTCTCTTTCCTTTGCAATGTGAGCTTGTGCATGGTTACCTCCTTTCCTCTACCCTCGATGTTTTTGCATCGACGTTTATCAGCTAACTTGGTGTCGGTTTTTAGCTGGCCGTGTTTCGTTGTGGGTCTGTCCTTATTGAAGTCTTATTCTCAGTGATGACATTCTTAGATGACGAATCTGAGTTTAAGGGTGCGAGCGAAGGTTAATGGAGCTGGCATTGCGGTGTGCTATCGCAGTGTCGTGTGAAACTACCGGATCTTGCCTCCCGCTGGTCTGCCAGTTGCACTGAAGCATAAACGAGGCATTTGTCTGAGAGAATCATGTAAAAGATAGTATGCACAGTCGCTGTTGCCCGATTGATGATACTTTCCATCACGACGGTCATCAGAGCTTCGGCGGTGCTGTTCTCAATTTGGAATTAATGTCTGACGGGTACGAATTTGCGACTTCACCTCCCTCGTTTAAGGGTGATATGATAGTCTGAATGTTTCGAAACCGACCTGTTAAGAGACTTCTTAATTATGGAATCCTGTGTTTCCGACTTTTAGTTATCAGCGCGCCCACGGAATGTCAGGTTGGATGCAAGCTTACTATGATGTAACCTAGTACCATCAAAGCCTGATACTGGTGATGATAAGTCATTATAACTGTAAGTCTGAGTACTAGCTTGCCATCCGGTCTGACAAATGGAACTCGGGACATCCGGACTTACGCCCTGGGATTTAGAGCAGCTAAGACAATGCAGTGATGATTACTGTACCATCAAAGCCTGAAATCTGTGATGAAAATTCACTATAACTGTAATCTGAGCAATCAGAAGTATTATTGCGTGGAAAATCCTCCAGATAATACACTTGTGGTTCCACCATAGTACCGTACAAATTTGAACAGGTTACTTGAAAGCAGTCGCGGATCCTATACTTGGTCGCCATCTGCGCAACAATACACCCCACAGACTGATTTATATCTAGACGATTGCAGCATACGCCGTCCCAGGTTGATGACAGTTCCTGCATGGAGTTTCATTTTTGTTATTACGACTGTGAAATTTTATTTGTTCTGAAAACTCGGGTACTCAATGGTTTGCGGAAAAAATTATTTATTTACAATGTGTAATCACTATCACCTAATACCATGTTGTCCACTACCGACCTACTCCAACCCCGACCCTGAAATCAAATCAACTGGAAAAATCCTAACAAATCATTCTGTTAAGCTGACAACTTGTGCCCCCACCTTGTGGCAGCTAAATCCGACTTGTCTAAAAATTGGTGTGGATGTAACGCAGTACAGACATGATGAAGAACGTGAAAAATGAGCAGTACCAGTCAAAACACTTGTATTGGACCAATACATGTATTACATCGAACGGCTTCTGCACCTTATGACCGGCACCCATCGACCAATTTTATTGATACTACAGATCTTATACATTCTTCGGTCATGGTAGAGTCTAACAGTTCTGCAAAGATATTTAACACAAACTAAATTGAAGGATAAAAATATAAATGGCTGCAATAAAATGTGAAGTAGGAGTCTTCATTATACAATAGCGTTCAGGGACCCCTCTACAGGCCATCCCCGACATGCACAGTGAACTTTCGCTAATGTGGCCATATAATCACCTGACCTGAAAGGAGCCAAGGCGTAATACTTGTTAATGCAGTATGAATAGTTTTTATCCAAGGATTAAACAAGCATATGGTGAGCACCAGTTGAGCGGCTGGATGATGATAGAACAATAACAAAATGTTTCTACAACTAGTAAGGGAGGCTCAACTCTCACCTCAAACCATAGGGACTTGAAACTGCGGTAGTGATAGCCTCCTTGGCAGCTTCGGATTTCTTCTGTGAAGTACGTCGACATCAGTACAACAGAAACTGAACAGAATATTCACATACAGAAAGAAGGTTATTCATATTACACTCAACTATGACCAAAGGCTTTAGTCGAACAAGAAAATCTATGCAGCACTGAAATGAGAAGAATCTAACGCCACGCACCTGAGATTCGTAGTACAAGCCCACATACAAGTATGCGTAGAAGAAGTCATGTGCATTGGCGTTTGCAAGTTCCAAAAGCTGCATACGGTCAACGTGGTAAGAAAGGACCGTGATAATGTTTCAAACTCAAGTCAAACTAGGTTTTACCAATTTGTCTCCCCTATCTAACGAATAAAGGAAGTTTAAGAGATGGTTTGGAATGTCCAGCTTACTTCTTTGGTGTCAACCCCGTCCCTAAATAACTCGTAAGCAGCCCGCATTACTGGTCTGCTGTCTCGGCCAACCTGTAGGTAGTTCAATCTAACAGGTGAATCACAAGATTGCGATTACTCTCGCAGAAATGTCACCAAGCATAATAGAATGCATAGGATATAACGGGGATTAACTTTCGCCAAAACTACACGCGACCACTAATATCTCACCTTCAGAAAACGTCGTCTAGCTTCCTCTGGCCCGTGCAGCTGGGCCTCACAGAGAAAGCACCAAATTGACTCCTCTGTGTCATTGGGATTGACTGCAACATCATCCCTAAACTGCTTAGCTCCTTCTTCAAATCTATACCGTAGTAACCAGTTTATGAGGATCAGTTTCCATCCATTCCATTCGCTCTGAACACCAACTCTTGCACTCTCTTTACTATATTAAAGCCTAAGAACCTCTCTTCATCAACAAATTGGCCAGAACTACTGCTTTGTTTACAGTATTCTACTCTGTACGATAAACTCCAAAAAAGGACAGTCTGTACTGTCACACGACTAGCGATATTACTACACTCGCAGCACGAAAGACGCAATTTTTTTTTTTTTTTTTTTTTTTTTTTTTTCCTTTTCCTTTTCCTTTTCCAAGAACACGAAAAAAACTAAATTCAAAATGAAATAGTGTAGGAAACCGAAGGTCTTCATTAAGGGAATATTACCTATTAAGGTAGTAGAGAGAAAGGCCACGCTGCCATAAATCTGAATCCAGAGCAATTCAAAAAGCGATTGAGATTGCATTTTCTTTGCAATTAACTGTTCAAATCTAGATTCAACATGAGAACATGCACGAACTGCGAATATCGCCATAGTCTTCTTTAATACTTCTGTTTGTTCAATCAGCATTATTAGTACATGATATCTACCATGCAAAGTTTGTGACCGCACATGGTCTTTGTCGGGGATCAAGCTCCAGTGCCTTGTCGAATTCCACAACAGATCCCTTCACATCCCCCTGTAGACATTGACCACCCACTTCGTACTAAGTACAGAAGCAAGCAATTCATATCACGAAAATTACAAGGACTAGAATCGATTGTGAGGAAGAACGCAAATGATGACCAGCAGAACGATACAAAAGAGAGAACGTCCGACAAATTACTACAAAATAAGATATGGAGATGGCCAATTACTGGAATGAAAATGCAACGGACACAACAATCCTCCGTCCAAAAAATCAGACGATCCTCAAAGTAATCCCCACCAAAAACCAAAACAATTCCAAACCTGTGCAAACAAGTTCATGCCGCGACGAGTGGCTAGAATGGCAGCTTCTCGCCCACCACCGGAGGTAGCCATGGCGCGAGCGGCCAAAACCACAGCAGCCACAGATGCAGTGCCCAGAAGAATGGCACTTCCCGAGACGGTGCCCACCACAAGGCCTCGTCGGCCTCCCCTCTTGCTCGGCACCTCGGTGCGGCCGGATGACGAGGGTTGCGACGGAAGAGGGGAGCTCCCTTTCACTCCGAAGCAACCCACAGGCAGCAGCTGGGACCCCACCAAGTATGGTCTCCCAGCGACGCGAGGGCACGGCAGCAGGCGAGGGGTGGCGGGGAAGTGGAGAAGGATTGCAGGCGTCGCCATGTCCGATTGCGCGCAGGCAGGCCAAGCTTGTTGGCGTGTGTGTGTGGTTGATTGCTATGGATGGAGTCTGATGGATTGCGGCTGTTGGAGTCGAGGGGCCCCGTCGCCGAGGATTGCTTGCTTGCATGCGGCAGGGCCGGAGATAAGACAAAGAAAAAGAAGAAGATGACTGGTGTGGTGTGGTGGTGCTTCCTGTCTCCGCCTCTTCTCTTCTGCTCTGCTCTGCTGAGCTTGTCACCGTGCCACCCCTGCTCTTACCAAGCTTCCAACACACACGTTCAACCCAACAACTTTTGTTCAATATTGGGTGTTGAAAGGAGCAGAATGGGTGGGTAAAAGTTTAACGTGGAATTCCAAAGTAAATGAGAGTATGTCAATATTGCAATTACCATAAAATATAACATGTTAGTGTAGAATATAATTTGTTAGAGAGATAATAGATAAATGGAGAATATAATTTGAAGATATAAAGAGTAGGTCTAAAAGTTGCAGACTTTCCTTGAATGTGCTTCTTAAATTGTTTTCTCTCAGGTTCAATAAAAAAAACAATTTGTAATAAAGTATGATCAAAATAATTGTTGTTGAAAAAAAATAATTTCTACTTCAAAAAAAATGATTATAAAATCTTAAATTGTGCAATGTGAGTTGGGATGTGCATTAGTTTGATTTAAGCTTTAATTTTTGTATTATTATTTTTGGTATGAATACCAATTTAATTAAAAAAATTATCCATATTTAATATTTTTTAATTTATTACTAAATTGCAATGTCATATCAAATCAATGCAATTTCATGGCATTATCTCACTTATCTTTGCTGGCATTTTATTTTATTTTATTTTATCATATGTGTCAAGGATATGAATCTTAGAGAACTAAAAGAACAATACACTCTTTTGTCACTCAAAAAGACTAGAAAATCATTCAAAGATGGTATAATATTAAATTAAAATAACTATTATCAAAGAAAAGAGGATTAAAAAGTCTTGAAACAAAACTAAGGTCTAAAAAGGCATTGTCAAGAGTGAAGAAGGCTTCATTCTTGCCTTTATGTATACTATCAACTAAGAGCTATGAAGCGACACCTTATAGAACCTCCAACACGTTTTCAATTTGCAAGATATATGTCTTAACTTGTAAGGCAAATTTTTTACATACATGCCATATTATTAGCTTGTACCACAAGCTATTCACATGTGCAATACATGGCTAACTTATTAGCCAAGTTGATAACCTACTAATCAACTATAAACATATATAAAGTCAAACATGCATTTATGAAGCTTCTAAGAAGCTTCACTACAAGATAATATGAAATCATTTTACATTTATCTTTTATCTATCACTTCTTATTTGAATAAAAATATATGTTTGTTACATTACTCCCCATTCTAAAGACAAGTTTTATAAGGAATAATCATCATATGTTGAAGAAGTTCAAGATACAATAAATTATATTTGCCAAATACTTTGATCTTTGTTTTCTTTAAAGATGGTTGATAGGTTGTCTAAACTATTAATAATGTCTTATTCTAAGGTAGAAAGACCACCATATTATTTAGTTGTTGTTGAAGCCTTTATAACTTTTTCAAACAAAACATTTGTAAGACCATCATGAGTCATTCATATATCCAATAAAATCACCAAACATTGAGAATCTCTTCCAATGTTGGGATATCAAACGCTGTCGAAATACGTGAAGTCTTGCTTGAGAATGCTCCAGGTAATCCTTCATCTTCTTCTTTATCTTCAAGCATGATTTCCAATTTCTCTTGCAACTTTCCATCAGATGCTTAAAGAAAGAGCTCCACCTTACTTGGATCGAATAATTGTCTTTCTTTCTTTGATAAAGAAGAATATTGCTTTTCAAACTCCCTTAATAATTTTGTTGCTAGAAGATCCTTCTCTGGCCTTTCAATTTATTCGAAAAAAGACTTTTTTGTAACCCTATCACTATCTTCCAAGAAAAACTCATCTGTCAATGCTTGAGAAAATTTCTCCCATGAACCTTATTGTTCTTGTTGTGTTCAAGCTTCAATATACCAAAGCAATTGAACTAATAGAGGTAGGTTCGAATATGGGGAAAGCCTGGTTATATGAATTGGGTCTGTTAGTGTCACAATTGATTGTACTCTAGCTATCTGAAATCAATTATCAAATGACAAAACACCAAGGCTTACTCCTTCCGTCTTAATTCAACACATAATCCATTCTACAAATATCAATTCAACAATACTTCCATATTCTTATCAGTTCATCTCTCACTTACTCTCTTTGTAGTTTATATATATTCAATTACTGATCTCCAGCTTACTTATTATATTCAGTTTCTCAGTTCATCATACAGAATTCAATATCGTCACTTAATACAACATAATTTGATAATCTCAATTCTCAAGGTTACAGATTTTTTCCAAAACGGTTAGTCCAAAGTCATATTCCACAATATTCTAATTAAAATTTCAACAATACTTCTTTTAATCACAATTCTTCATAAGCAAATAATAAAAGCAAAGAAAACAAAGAAGTAGCATCAAGCTTACTCCGGCTTACGACTCTCACAGTCTGGCCTCCCGACTTATGATTCTCACAGTTTGGCTTGGATCTCCCTTTTCTCAACCTCTTTATCCTACCAAAAGATGGACTATCGGCTAGTAGATTCCAAAGGTTATGATCTTTTGAATTCTTAACCATTTATTCCACTAACAACCTACTGTTACCACCTAAATTGTCTAACCATAAGCCTAATTCTCAAGGTTATCAATAACCAATCAGTAACTTACCACAAAATTTATTTACCTATTCTACATAGTCCCACTCCTATCTATGCAACGTCCTCGCAAATATTATTTAGCCTCAACTTATAAAGACGTTGCAACGTTGGCTTCTTCAGTGAATAGCGTTGGCTTACCATCCTTTGAATTGGCGACCTCTTCCTCTGCTACATCCTCGTCGTCTGCCTCGATGCTTGAAGGTTCTCTAGCCAAATGTACCGTCAGATCTTCTTTCAATAAATCCAATTCCCATACCTGAGACTCAAGATGGCAATTTGGTTGTCGTACTCCTCCAACATCTTTTGCCATTCTTCTGTTAGTCCCAAAAGTATCTCCAAAGGTATTGTCCTTGAAATCGACGTATTGGTCCGCACTAAATTATTAGCATCCTTTTCAAATGCGGCTAGTTTAGTCTGCAACATCACAACCTCTATCTACAGTTGCTTTTGTCGTACCTTCCAATCAATCTCAATCCTTGCTTTCTCACATACCATGTTTGCCATCTTCTCCTTTTCCGCCATCCACTTCTCCTTAACCACAAAAGAAAACATGATGCTTGTCAAGAACCCCCCTCCTACTTCTTACTATAGTCCAATCAATTGGGTCGACTCCCCCTTTTGTAACAGAAAACCCGTCGCGGATTTATGTATAGTAAAGTTTAAGCCGATTGCCATTGATCCGTGTAATAAATTTAGTACCCATAAAATCTTCCAATTGCACTAAACTATTTGGAAATCTGTTAATAAATCAATATGGCCCATGCCATCGAACTTGAAATTTTCCTAGAAATTTTTTAAATCGACTATCATAAAGAAGTATCAAATCATTTGGCATAAAAATCTGTGGTCTAAGCTTACTATCATAATAAGTCTTCCTTCGTTTTTGTGTAGTTTCCATTATCATTAATGCATTGGCTCTAGTTTCATCTAATTTTTTCAGTTCTTCTAAACGGTGCCATAATGAATCATGATCTCCCAATCTATTATCTATAGTAATTCGTAAACTTTGGACTTTCAATTCAATAGGTAATATTGCTTTCTGGCCATAAACCAATTGAAAAGGGGTAGCATTAGTAGTAACTTTATACGCAGTATAATATGCCTATAAAGCTGCGAACAACTTAGTATCCCAATCTGTTCCCGCTCCTAAAACTGTCTTTCTTAAGATTTTACATAAAATTCCATTAGTCTTTTTTGTTTGTCCATTGGCTCTAAGATGATACGATGTAGTCTTACGATGTTTTATCTCATATTTAGCTGTAAGTGCTTTGATTGTACTATTTATAAAATGAGTTCCTCGATCACTAACCAATTCTCGTGGACAATCAAACCACGTAATAATATTTTCATACAAAAAGGTTACTACTGTACTTGCACTATCGGTTTTTGTAGCTACGGCTTCAGCCCATTTTGTTATGTAATCCGTTGCTACCAATATATACCATTTTTGGCCATTTCTTGAGGCTGGTGCAATTGGTCCTACAAAATCAATTCTCCATTTTTCAAAAGGTGCTTGAGCTAGAATCGATACCAATGGCATTACTGAAGTTCTAGTAGGTCGATCCGTTCTCTGATATGGATCACAATGACGGACAAATTAATGGGTATTTGCAAACATTATTCGCCACCAATAACTAGCCTGTAAAACTTTATGAGCCGTGCTATCCTCCACAAAATGTCCACCACAATTGTCCAAGTGACAACCTTCTAATATAGTACTCACTTCAGTCTGATAAATACAGCATCGCAAAACTCCATCCTTGCCTTGTTTATATAAAGCTTCACCAATCATTGTATAAAGTGTACATTTTAATATTAAGCGTCGTTTAAGCTTTTCATTAAAATTAGGTAGGAAGGTTTGAAATGTCAAGTATTGAATTATTTTACTATACTCCGGAGTAATTACATCTATCGCAAACAGTTTCGAATCAAGTAGTGCATTGTTAATGGGTTCATTACCTAATATATTAGATAACTGAGATAAATGGTCCGCATTGGAATGTGATTTTTCTTATCTTACCTGAATAGTAAAGTCAAATTTCTTCAAGAGTAAAATCCATTGTATAATACGACCACTCAATTGAGGCTTATTAATCATATATTTTAAAGTATCATGGTTGACATGGAAAACAAATTTATAACCAAGAAGATAATGTCGAAACTTTTGTATGGAATAAATCATCTCCAATGCTTCTCTTTCAGTTGTTGTATAATTTTTTTCAACTACTACTAATTGACAACTTGCATAATAAATTAGGTGATCAAAACCCCAGTCATCTTTCAGGCTTAGCACAGAACCAATCGTGACATTAGATGCATCCATATAAACTTAGAATGGTTTTGTCTAACA